AAAAAAAAAAAAAAAAAAAAAAAAAAAAAAAAAAAAAAACCAAATAAAAGATTGCTCATTCAAAGGGTTCCTTTCATTATTTAAAAAAACTAATTTTATACACAGTTTTCTTTAGTTATGTAAGAAAAAATGTCATAAGTTTCTTCAGTTTCTGTTTCTGGCTATGGGGGAAAACATTCCAGGACTGTCTGATCCAAAAATCAGCCAATAACTTAATTTTTAAAATATTATTTTCTTTCATAAACCACAGGGGCCTGCAACTAAGAGAAAAAAGCTTATGTACTATCTCTTGAAGGACAGGAGCATTTTTTACATCGAAGCATTTCTTTGCACAACCTTTGAAGGAGTAAATGCATTAGATCTGAGTTTTTTAAAAAACCTTATTTGCAGCAGAATACCCTAGAGAATTGCTGTCAGACTGCTGATTCCTAGGTCCTGGCAAAACCTACTAAGTCAGATTCTCTGGGAGAAGGTTTGAGGAATCTGCATTTTATTTATTTATTTATTTATTTAACCATATTGATTGTACATATTTATGTGTTACAGAGTTATATTTCAATACATGTATACAATGTGTGATGCTCTATTCAGGATCATTAGCATATTCATCATTGCAAAACTTAATCATTTCTTTGTGATGTGCACATTTGATCTCCTCTCTTCTAGTCATTTGATAACATGCAGTAAATCATTGCTAATTGTAGATTCCTGGGCAGCAACGTGGATGAATTTGGAGAGAATTATGTTAAGTGAAATAAGCCAGGCACAGAAAGAGAAATACCACATGTTCTCACTCATATGTAGGAGCTAAAAATGAGAACAAAACAAAACAAAAAATCTAATAAATAATGAGAGAGAACTGTGGTTACTAGAGGCAGGAAGGGTGGGTAGCAGGGTAGTGAGATGCTGTTTAATGGACACAAAATTAGATCTAGATAGGAAAAATAAGTCCTATTGGTGAACAGTCGACCCAGGAATCTGCATTTTAAATTGCTAAAGATTATTCTGAGGTAACAGGTCAAAGGGTTTGGACTCTTTACTCTTAGTTCATTTTTAAAAATAGTTTTCCTTTTCTGTAGAACCTTTGCTCAACTCCCATTGTGGCTGATGATGTAAGGCTTGACTCTATATTCTGCCCATTACTTAAAAACAGAGTTCTCTGATAGCCTAGACAAAAAATGTAATGAGAACATTCTGCACCGTGCTTGGTGCTGATGATCATTGGACAAGGGTATGTGCAGAGGTGAAATGGGAAATAAGATACCAGCAATACTACTTCTGGAAGGCATTTAAAGCCATGTGGTGGAGTAGGACACTTAGAAAGCCATTGTGTTCTGGAATGTTGATCTGACAGTGATTGGAACTGATCATGAAGGACAGGGAGGTCAATCTGGAGAAGACATGAAACCTGAAGTGATTATGGTATGAATCAGGGTGTGGGAAATGGGAATATCACAGAAGACAAGGGTCCAAGATGCTTTGCAAAGGAAGCAAGAAAAGAATTTGGTGATAGAATAAAGGGAAAGGTGATTTCAGAGTATCTAATCTAGGAGCAAGAGAAAATGAGCTCTGACTGGTTGAAATGGTAAGGTAATGAAAAGGCAGTTTGGTGAGAGAAGAGGGGGTGTATGGTATTTTTTGGACACTGAATTTGAGGCAAGAGTGGAGTTAAATGGAGTACAGTTAGAAATCTGGGACTAACTCTGGCATGAGAGGTCAAAACTAGGAATCCCCAGCATAGAAATTATAGTCAAGGGATGGGAGGGATAAACTGGGGGTGAGTGGATGAGGGAGTCACAAATAGAGAAGAATGGGAGTGCAGATCCCCCCCCCCCCCC